GCCCACAGGCTTACGCAGAACAAAGGCGTCTAGCGCAAGCCGGGACCAGGGGAAGACGTCCCTCCCAAGGCGGTCAGCCCAGATCGGCTCGGCCCCCGAGGCCCTTCTATCTCCAAGCCAGGAAACGTTCCAGGCCCCAGGCCCATTCCTAAGCCACTGAGCAGGGTTGGCAGGCTGTGGAGGAATGCCCTTTGCAACATCTCTCTCAAAAATTGACAGAATCAGAGGGAGAAATAGACAAGTCCACAATATTAAAAGGAGGTTTTCATGCACTTCGCTCAGTAACTGAGAGAACAAGCAGACAAAAAGTCTGTGAGGACATAGATTTGAACACCACAGTGACAAACGAGACCTACTTTATACGTATAAACCACGTACTTAATTATAAAATGCGGATTCTTTTAAAAAACACAAGGTATGTTAACAAACACGACGATGTACTGGGTAAAAATAACAAGTCTCAACAATTTTGAAGACTGGAATAGCACAGTATCTGATTCCTGTTCACAGTTATATTAAGCTAGAAATCTGGAAAAACAAAGAAAAATCCTCATATGTTTAGAGAGTCGGAAATGCACTTTTGAATAACCAATGGGTCAAAGAAAAAACTCATAAATGGAAATTGAAAAATATTTTAAATCGAGTGGTGATGAATATACTACATACCAAAATTTATGGGCCGCAACTAAAGCCAGGCTTGGAGGAAATTTTATAGCTGCGTGTGTGTGTGTGTGTGTGTGTGTGTGTGTGTGTAAAGAAAAAATATGTATGCATATATATATACATGTATATATATATACACATACATATATATATATGAAAAGATAAAAGGCTAAACGTAAATGATCTCAGTATCCATCTCAAGAAAGGCAAAGAGAATATCAAATCGAAAGGAAGCAGAAGGAAGGAAATGATAAAGAGCAAAAAGCAATAAAACAGAAAACAAAATTAAGAGGCTCAAGCCCTAGAGGAAGGACTGTAAACTGAATGACACTCTAGTAAGAATGGGCCAGGAACCAAAGACCAAAAACCAGTCCATGCATGACAAAGGGGCGCCACTGTTCTGTAGCCATTAAGAAGAGAATCATATACCTCCTTAGGCAAGGGAAACGAAAAAATAAATAAATGAACACATGGAGCTACATCAAACTAAAAAGTTTTTGCAAAGCAAAGAAAACCATCAACAAAACGAAAAAAAGACAACCTACTGCATGGGAGACGATGTTCATCTATGCTAAATCTGGTAAGGGGTCAATGTTCAAAATTAATAAAGAACTCATACAACTCAACAACAGAAACACGATCCCACCGAAAAATGGGCAGAAGACCCAAACAGACATTTCTCCGAAAAGGACATACAGCTAGCTGACCGACAGACATATGAAAAGATGCTCAAGGTCACTAATCATGAGAGGAATGCATATTAAAACCACAATGAGAAATCACCCCACATCTGTCAGAATAGCTGTCATTCATAAATCGAAAAACAACAAGCGTTGGCAAGGATGTGGAGAAAAGGGAACCCTCGTGCACTGTTGGTTGGATTGGAATGGAAAACAGTCCGGAGGTTCCTCAAAAAATCCAAAACAGAGTCTATGGCCATTCCACCCCGAACGCACCCGATCTCGTCCAATGTCGGAAGCTAAGCAAGGTCGGGCCTGGTTAGTGCTTGGATGGGGAGACCGCCTAGGAATACCAGGTGCTGTAGATGTTAATAAAAAAAAGGTTATAAAAAAACCCCAGAACTACCTTTTGACCCAGCAGTTGCACTTCTGGGTATCTATCCAGAGAATTACAAAGCACCAGTCCGTAAAGATCTATGCATCCTTATGTGCACAGCAGCCCTGTTCACAATAGCCAAGATACGGAAGCATCCTAAGTGCCCGGCGACAGACAACTGGCTAAAGAAGTTATGCTTCATATAGACAATGGAATATTATTCAGCCCTAAAAAAAATGAAATCCTACCATTTGCAACGACATGGATGGACCTAGACGTTATTATGCTGCACGAAATAAGTCAGATAGAGAAAGATGGATCCCATGTGATTTCACTTATATGCAGACTCTAAGGAACAAACTAAACAAAAACAGACTCACAGATACAGAGGACAAACTAGTAGCTGCCAGAGGGGAGCGGGGTTGGGGGTTTGAAAGGAAAAGGTAAAGTGTTGAGGAAGAACAAATTAGTAGTTACAAAACAGTAGTTACAAAACAGGATGTAGAGTACAACATAGGGAATATAGTCAGTGGCATCGTAATGGCTGTGGGTGGGTGTGAGAGCCATCAGCGACCGCTTCAAAAACTATATGAACGTCTAACCGATGGACTGTATACCTGGAACTAATAATAAAAGACATAGTCTTTGGGGGAAAAATAGAGAAGATGATCATGAAGAGTTTTGTGCTAAATAGTTGGAAATTTGGGTAAATGGGTAAACTCCTGGCAAAATACAACTTACTAAAACAGACGCGAGATAAAGTAAAAATGTGAAAAGTCCCATAATTACTAAATAGATTTGATAGGTAATTTAAAAACTTCATACACACACATACAAACTCACAACATATGGACTAGTTATTTCAGTGATAAATTTCGACATCGAAGAAATAAAATAATGCCGATATTACATGAATTCTTCCAGAGAAATATAATAGGAAAAGAACCGTTCCTCACTGTCTGTAAAATGTAAAAATAAACAAACCGGTAGCATAAAGGAACACAATACGGTCTAAATTGTAGGAGTCAGAAAAATACTAGACAGTGTACATAACACGATGTAATATAATACAATGCAACACAGTACAATACATTTAAGTCTGGAGGAAAGTAATTGGAGTTGATGTAGATTATTTTTGTAGAAGAGGATGTATTTTTTTTTTCTGGTATTAAGTATAGATCTTGTAACTTAAAGATAAGCACCAAATACAGACATACGTAACTTCCAATCCAGTGGAGAAGAAAACTACAATGATAAATAAAACCCATAATCAAATTTTTAATAATGGAAGAAAATAGAGAAAAAAATTAGAAAAAGTCAGACAAATAGAAAACAAAGTACTTCGGTAGAAACAAATCATTATCAGTAACTATAATCGACGTGAATGTACTTAATTGTCAACTAAAATGCACGTGTTGTCAGACTGGATTACAAAATAAAACAACTCCTTGCTGTCAAGTAAGAGAAGCTCCTACAGTGTCAGAAAGAGAATGGAATGTACGTGATGAACAAATATTTTAAGCAAATCAAAGGAAAGCTGATATACCTATATTAGTTTTGGACAAATAGATTTGAAGGCAAAAGGAATGAGAGGTATAAAAAGCACCATGTAATGATTCAGTATAATATTATATAATGACAAAAGTCAATTCACCAGAGGACATAACAGCTTTAATTTTTTATGTACCTAATAACATCTTCAAAATTCATAAAATAAATTTTGGCAGAACTACAATAATAATAAAATGACATATCTATCACCACAGAGGGGAAGATTTTTATACACTTCTTCAAGTAATTGAAAGGTCAAACAATTAAACAAATAAACTAAGGAAAAGAAGATTTAAACAAAACAATTAACAGTCTAACTATAAGGAATCCTGCACGCTGTAGGACGCTACACCCAACACTCATAAAAGACAAAGCATTTATGAAAACAGATGATGTATTGATTACAAATCTCAACAAATTTTAGAATTGGTCTAACAAAGACCGCCTTTGCTGACCAGGATGCAATTTAATTTAGAAAACGGTAACTAAAGATAGCTAAACTAAATTTAAAAGTACATTTAAAATAAATAACAGGTCAAAGAGGAAATTATATTGGAAAATTTAAAATGTCTAAACAAAAAGAAATGAAAAATTCCTCATGAAAACTTTGGGAATGCAACCAAAGTGGTGCTTAGAAGGATTTTTCGCGTCATCGCATGCACACATTGAACTAAGTAGGTGGTTTCTTTAAAGAGTCATTTGCTAAAAGAGGTTTAACCTTGTTTCAAAATCTTCAGGCCCTGAACTGTGATTTTCCTGTTGTGACTTGCAACAAACGTCTTAGAGCATCCAAATCAGCTCCGATTCTTACGAAGCATCAGATCTGCTGAGGCCCTAGGGCCAACTAGCAGCCCTGTACTGCAGTCTGGACCAGCTGGGAAATCTTTTTGCTCTGGGCACAAATCAAACCTGACAGCTTCCTCAGTCACTTGGCAAAGGTATTGGGGCAGAGTAACAGGAAATGATATATGCTGTCTCCAGAATTCAAAGGGGCTCAGCAAGTATTGTACCACCTTCTCTGCGGCCGTGGGCAAAAGATGGAATATCTTTTCTGTGACTCGGGTGAAAGTATCTTGACACACTCTAATCTACTAAAGGCGTAACTTCGGTAATGTGGCAGGAAATCGCATTTTCGTGGATTTTTATTTTCACAGGTAATATGTGCCGTAAATACATGGCATCTTGGGTGCCTGCTCCTTCCAGCTTTCTGGACCCTACTGGCGTGCCATTGTGACGGTAGTGAATTTTGCGTGCTGCCTTGAAGAACGATAAGGCAGGCGGCCGTATGTGACAAAGACCAAGAGCTCAATATCCTGAGCCAGGGGAGTGAATGTGTACTGCTGGCCCCATCTCATGCAAGCAAATGCTTCTACCATTTTCTGAAATTATTCGCATCCATTAAAAATAACCACAGTTCCCTTTATGAGTCCCATTTTCTATATTTCTCTTTAAATTGGCTTGCTTCGGTACCTTCTTGGTCTTCTGGAACGTCACTCTCAGAAGGCACGTGGCCTCAGAGGCCGCAGGTAATAACCTTTTGGCTTTGTGTTCCATGAGCGTCTACCTTCCCATCCCGGAATGGGAAACATGCTTCCTTCTGATCAACACTGTGTTCTCCCCACTTCTCTGCAACCCACTCTGTGGACTGCGTTTTCTGAACAGGTGAAGTCCCTGTGCAGCATGCAACAGAAACTGATTCTGGCTAACGTAAGCGACATGAAAGAATTTACCTGAGGTTCTGGAGAGCAGCCAACGCCAAAATAAAAGATGAACAATAAGCCTTCGGAGAGGGTGGAAAGCAGGACAGTCTCTCAGGCTTAGCCTCAGCTGGAGTCGCCCTTCCTCCCAGGAAGTGTCTTTCAAAGCCAATTCTGGGTGAGAGAACAGAGCGATTTAGGGTTACATGGCACAGAACAGAACGAGCGACATCGGGCGGACGTCCACTGCACCATAAGGTAAAACAACAACACCGTAGCTAACTGCATCCAAATACGAGCCCGTTTTTGGAGACGTGAAAAATCTAGAAAATGGAAGGATGGGAACCCACTACGTTCTACTAACCAAAGATTTTCACTGTTACTAGTTTTTAAACAATATTTTCCCCAACGAATTAGAAAAAATACTATAACTCAAAATGCTTCAAATGTACATAACAGATTAAATTTGCCAATAAACATGCAGATATAAACGATCTTACATTTTGGTAGTATTCACGCTTTCCTTAAAATTTTTAAAGTTAAGGGTTTTTTTTAACTTATAAACATAACACATATGGATTACATTGCAGAAATATATGTGAAATAAGCAAATGTTTCCTCTAATTCTGAGATAATCCCCAAGATAATCCCTGTTAAAAGCTGGAGATTTTTTCCCCATCATTTCTACATACGCCTGTATTAACTATGTTACTAATTTATTAGATATTAATTAAAAATTGGGTTCCATTTTTCCTGCATTAAATACTGTCTTATGACATTTAACTGTGTCTCGGAAAGTATTTCCATATTAGTACGTATAGTCTAACCTCATTCTTTTCAACAGCCCTATATTATCCTATTGAATGGATATATCACAATTTATTGAACTAATTCTACTGATGGACGTTTAAGTTGTTTCAGATTTGTCACTATAATCAAGTATTTCAGTGTAAAGTCCTTGTCCCTATACCTATGCTGACTTGTTTCTGAATCAGCCTTTCCATAGAAATGCACATATTTGATACATCAGTGTATGCAAAGTTACTTCTTGCTTTATTAGCATATCACAAACTTCTCAAATACTATCAAAATCTTTATTAGTTAAATGTAATACGTATATGCTATTTCATACAGGTGTCATAATTTAATTAATATGATGGTTCCCACATTTGATGATTTTAGGTTGTTTCTAAGTTTGGTTAACAGAAATAATTTTGCATTGAACATTTCTGTCTCTAAAGCATTATTTGCATCTCTGAATAATTTTAGGGATATTCCCGAAAGTGAAATCATTGTATGACCATTATTTAAGGCTCTTGATGTATACTGACAGACTGTTCTTCAAAAAGCTTGTAGGATTTACATTTGCATCAGCAGTATGAGTGCCTGTATTGCTGGCCCCTTACTATTGATATATTAGTATCTTTTTCTGTGCATAGTTAAAAATTAAGTATAATTATATTATATCATTTATTCACTTATATAGTGATATAAATAATTTGCCAGTAGGTTTCAAGCTGCTGGTAAACTCCTTTCCATGTTTACCACAGAAGTGGACTGCAGTTTGGTTCATGTCCTTGTTACAGGACACCTAGACAATCTCTTGATTTACTCTTTTATAAATGATGGAGCGCTGAGCATCTGAAAACGTCAAAATGTCATTTGGGTCCTGTCGCCCTGGCTCCCTTAATGTGAAGAGCACAGCAGTTGTCCTGCACGGGCCAGTGAGAGCAGGATCTGGCCAGATGGGGTTCTCGCAACCCCCAGAATCGAACTTCAACTTCGCTTTCGTACATCTCAGTGCTGAGTCTAACCACCTAAACGTCCTTCTAGTGCAGTTAAACATGCCTCCTGCTTCTCTGTGCCACGAATTTTTATTTGAAGCCTGTCATGATCTTTCTCTAAAGCTCTATAGCACTTAAGCCACCTGTTGCCAACAGGCACTTCACGCCAGTTGGCCCGGGTGATAACTTAGGCCACTCGTTGGCCTCCGCCTGCTGCAGGGTGCTGAGAAACACTCACTGAATCCCCAGTGCCTTCAGACCCAGCTAAGGCCAACAGCCATCTCCCTGGGGACCTGTGGCTCAACCATTCCTCGTAACAGTCTATATAGATCAGAGTTTTCTTTCCAACTACACAGTACAGTACATTCTAACTGCTTTATCAGAAAAGGGGTTGGTTAAGAGGTTTTGGACTGGTCTCCCAAATTGAAGTAGTTTTGGTAAGAGGAAGATGCTTTTAACCAGTCACAACCACTGGAACTTATTCATGTGATTTCAACAGAGGTTACCCAGAAAATGCAGTTGTTAGCTCCTCCCACTCCCCCAGACACTGCAAAACACATTTATGAAGTACAGTCTGGCCTTCATGGATAATTTCCTAGAACAGCAACAAACTCCCACCTGACTCTTGTTTCATTAAGATGTAAAAATTTTTTCCTGTGAAAGCCATCAATGAGATCCTTAATTCTCTGTGCCTCTTAGTTATCTACATGCAGACATCATTTTTTTCTTCATCTTTTGTTCTACTCAAAGTTTAGGATTTTTAATCCTAGGCGTCGAGAGAGGTTCAATTTATCAGGAAATTCTTATTTTGAAGTTAATTTCTGTGCCACTTGATAGGACCAGGAGTAAAAAATATCTCGTGTGATACTGTGGGCCACTGTTTCAAGTTCAGGACCCTTAGTTCATCTTCACCCTCGTTCATCTCAATGCCCTCTCCACTCACGAAGACAAACAATAAATGTAACGACCACGTTACACCGTAGATACAATGTCATGGGTAAAGAAAAGGAAAGAAAAATATTTTATATGAGATACAGCGAGCAAGGAAGGGAGAAGAGGAAGAGCCTAGAGCTCTTGTTTCTGCAGCTGGTCTGGGGGCTCTACCTGGCATTTTCGTCTCCCGCCGCTTATTCCGTGTTTTGCCTGTTTCTGGCTAACACTGTAGCTGGTTAAAGTTCTTTGCATAATGGCAGCTGATACCTTTCTTCCCGTGGGGCTTGCATCCCCAAGTCCTTAGTGGTCCTGCCTGTCAAGGGCAGCAGCAATGTGCTGGCAACTTTGACCACTGCACGTGGTGTACAGCGCTGGGCCCCTGGGGGGCTCCTGCGTGCCAGCTGCACTCTTCCCAGCATCTGTGGTGCAAGAGCGACCCTACCTCCTTCCCACAGACAAGGTCAGTCAGCGGATCGCCTCTCCCCAGCGCTGACCCCCACGCCTGTCTGTTTAGTGCTGGGTTTCTCGATCTCCGGGCTACCGGCATCTCGGATGATAACTTGTTACGGGGACTGTCCGGTGCACTGTGAAATGTTCGGCACTGTCCCTGGCCTCCACCCACCGGACGCCAGTAGCAACCCACCCCCATCCCCAGTTGCGACAACCGCTGCGGGCTCCATCAGCAGAGAAAACGGCTTCTGCTGAGCACGGGTTTGAAGAACCCGACGGCACAGCGGAGCGACGTCCCTTAGCGCATGCGCTTCCCTCCGTCACTCTCGCTTCTTGACCAGAGAAAGAAGAAGCCTTTTTTGCCAAAAGATCCTCCCAATTTACCGCTAGAGTAACGACGGGATGCTGGGCGGAACAACGGAGAAGAGGTTCGTATCATCCATTTTACATCGAGCAATAAACTCATTATGCAGAGAGGAGCGGAGAAAATCCTCCCTATGTCAACATTCAAAGACACTTAATATTTTGGACAATCATTTATGGTCCTAGGACAATCATTTATCAACATATACCATCGTTCCAGATAGAATAAAGACCTAAGTGGAAAAAGCAAAGGCCTGGACCACTCTCACACCACACAGGAACGTGAGGCAGGAGGTGTGGGGGGCGTGGCGGGGGGGGCAGAATGGGTCAGGTGGGTCAAAGGCTATGAACTTCTAGTCATCAAATAGTAAGTCATGGGGATGTCATACACAGCAAGGCCGGCTGTAGTTAACACTGCGCTGCGTATCTGACAGTTGCCAAGACAGCGAGTCTTAAAAGCTCTCATCACCAGACAGACATTCTGTAACTGCATGTGGTGACGGATGTTGACTGGCCTTACTGTGGGGATCATTTCACAATTTATACAAATATTGAATCATGGCATTATACATCTGAAACAGATGTATGTCCATCACACCTCAATTAAATAAGACAACCTATATTCCGACCACTGAGAAGGATAAATACGTAACATGCAATGGCAATCACATGACAACGCATAAATGTACCAAATTAACGATTCCGTCTTAAACTTACACGATGTTACATATCAAATATATTTTAATTAAAAATATACGGAAAACAATCTGAAGGTAGGGATGCTATAGCTCCATGGCATTTGTTCGTTCATTCATTTGTTCATTCATTCAACAAATGTTGTCAACGTGCTTTGTGAGCCAGAAGCTCTGCTACACTAGGCCGTGGAGCATCACAAAGAACAAAGATACGAATCCTTGCCTACGAGGAGCTTACGCTGCAGTGGAAGAAACAAGACAATAAATGAAATAAATGGTAATATATATTATATATATACACGCAATAAAACATAGGGGATGTGGGTCACCATTCGAAGTGGGACTGTCGGCAAGGTGTTTTCATTTTCTATTGTTGCTATAATAAATGAGCACAAACTCAGTGGCTTAAAGAAACAGAAATTTATTACCTCGCCGTTCTGGAGCTCGGAAGGCTGAATGGGTCTCATCGGGTTAAAACCACGTCTTGGCAGAGCTGCATTCCTCCCGGAAGCTCTGGGGCAGAATCTGTTTCCTTCCATTTTCCAGCTTCTAGAGGCTTCCTGGGCTCGTTGGCTTGGGCCCCAAGCTGACAGCAGCCTCGCTCTGACTTCTGCTTTCATGGCCACATCTGGTTCCCCGGCTCTCCCGGCCTCTGTCGCTCACGAGGACCCTGGGGCTTCCACTGGGCCAACCTGCACAATCCAGGGCATGTCTCCTACCTCCGGGCCCTTCATTTAATCACACTGCAGTCCCTTTTGCCACTGAGGCAACATAGTCACAAGTTCTGGTGACTAAGACGCGGACACCACTGGAGGGCCATTATTGAGGCTGACACAGAGGTCCTCAATGGGGAGGTGCCATTTTCAGTGAGTATGTGAGGGGGAAAAGAGCGAGTCGTCAAGAGACCTGTGGGAGGCACAGAGGGAGCAGCGGGTGCCAAGGCCCTGGG